GGGTCGAATTAGAGTAGAATCAAGGACGAACTAGGGTCGAATCACGGACGAAGTAGGGTCGCTTCAGGGTCAAACTAGAGTCGAATCAAGGTCCAACTAGAGTCGAATCAGGGACGAACTAGAGTCGAATCAGCGTCGAACTAGAGTCAAATCAGGGTTGAACTAGAATCGAATCAGGGCGAACCAGAGTCGAATCAGGGTCGAACTAGAGTCGAATCAGGGACGAAATGGGGTCGAATCAGGGTCGAACTAGGGTCGAATCAGGGTCGAACTAGAGTCGAATCAGGGTCAAACTATAGTCAAACCAGGGGCGAACTAGAGTCGAATCAGGGTCGAATCAGGGTCGAACAATAGTCGAATCAGGATCGAACTAGAGTCGAATCAGGGACGAACTTGAGTCGAATCAGGGTCGAATCAGGGTCAAACTAGAGTTGAATCAGGAACGAACTAGAGTCGAATCAGGGTCGAATCAGAATCGAACTAGGGTCGAATCAGTGACGAACTGGGTTTGAATCAGGGTCGAACTAGGGTCGAATCGGTATCGAACTAGAGTCGAATCAGGGTCGAACTAGAGTCGAATCCGGGCCTAACTAGAATCAAATCAGGGTCGATCGAGGGTCATACTAGAGACGAATCAGGGACGAAATGGGGTCGAATCAGGGTCGAACTAGGGTCGAATCACGAGCGAATTAGAGTAGAATCAAGGATGAATTAGAGTCGAATCAGAGACAAACTAGGGTCGCATCAGGGTCGAACTAGAGTCGAATCACGGTCCAACTAGAGTTGCATCAGGGACGAACTGAGGTTCAATTAGGGACGAAGTAGGGTCGCATCAGGGTAGAACTAGAGTCAAATCACGCTCCAACTAGAGTCGAATCAGGGATGAACTAGGGTCGCATCAGGGTCGAACTAGAGTCAAATCATGGTCCAACTAGAGTCGAATCGGGGACGAACCAGGGCCGAATCAGGGTCAAACTAGAGTCAAATGAGGGACGAATTGGGGTCGAATCAGGGTCCAACTGGGGTCGAATCGGGGTCGAATTAGAGTAGAATCAAGGACGAACTAGGGTCGAATCACGGACGAAGTAGGGTCGCTTCAGGGTCAAACTAGAGTCGAATCAAGGTCCAACTAGAGTCGAATCAGGGACGAACTAGAGTCGAATCAGCGTCGAACTAGAGTCAAATCAGGGTTGAACTAGAATCGAATCAGGGCGAACTAGAGTCGAAACAGGGTCGAACTAGAGTCGAATCAGGGACGAAATGGGGTCGAATCAGGGTCGAACTAGGGTCGAATCAGGGTCGAACTAGAGTCGAATCGGGGTCAAACTATAGTCGAACCAGGGGCGAACTAGAGTCGAATCAGGGTCGAATCAGGGTCGAACAATAGTCGAATCAGGATCGAACTAGAGTCCAATCAGGGACGAACTTGAGTGAGGGTCGAATCAGAGTCAAACTAGAGTTGAATCAGTAACGAACTAGAGTCGAATCAGGGTCGAATCAGAATCGAACTAGGGTCGAATCAGTGACGAACTGGGTTTGAATCAGGGTCGAACTAGGGTCGAATCGGTATCGAACTAGAGTCGAATCAGGGTCGAACTAGAGGCGAATCCGGGCCTAACTAGAATCGAATCAGGTTCGATCGAGGTTCATACTAGAGACGAATCAGGGACGAAATAGGGTCGAATCAGAGTCGAACTAGGGTCGAATCACGGGCGAATTAGAGTAGAATCAAGGATGAATTCGGGTCGAATCAGAGACAAACTAGGGTCGCATCAGGGTCGAACTAGAGTCGAATCACGGTCCAACTAGAGTTGCATCAGGGACGAACTGAGGTCCAATTAGGGACGAAGTGGGGTCGCATCAGGGTAGAACTAGAGTCAAATCACGCTCCAACTAGAGTCGAATCAGGGATGAACTAGGGTCGCATCAGGAACGAACTAGAGTCAAATCATGGTCCAACTAGAGTCAAATCGGGGACGAATCAGGGTCGAATCAGGGTCAAACTAGAGTCAAATGAGGGACGAATTGGGGTCGAATCAGGGTCCAACTGGGGCTGAATCAGGGTCGAATTAGAGTAGAATCAAGGACGAACTAGGGTCGAATCAGGGACGAAGTAGGGTCGCTTCAGGGTCAAACTAGAGTCGAATCAAGGTCCAACTAGAGTCAAATCAGGGTCGAACTTGAGTCGAATCAGGGTCGAATCAGGGTCAAACTAGAGTTGAATCAGGAACGAACTAGAGTCGAATCAGGGTCGAATCAGAATCGAACTAGGGTCGAATCAGTGACGAACTGGGTTTGAATCAGGGTCGAACTAGGGTCGAATCGGTATCGAACTAGAGTCGAATCAGGGTCGAACTAGAGTCGAATCCGGGCCTAACTAGAATCGAATCAGGGTCGATCGAGGGTCATACTAGAGACGAATCAGGGACGAAATGGGGTCGAATCAGGGTCGAACTAGGGTCGAATCACGAGCGAATTAGAGTAGAGTCAAGGATGAATTAGAGTCGAATCAGAGACAAACTAGGATCGCATCAGGGTCGAACTAGGATCGCATCAGGGTCGAACTAGAGTCGAATCACGGTCCAACTAGAGTTGCATCAGGGACGAACTGAGGTCCAATTAGGGACGAAGTAGGGTCGCATCAGGGTAGAACTAGAGTCAAATCACGCTCCAACTAGAGTCGAATCAGGGATGAACTAGGGTCGCATCAGGGTCGAACTAGAGTCAAATCATGGTCCAACTAGAGTCGAATCGGGGACGAATCAGGGCCGAATCAGGGTCAAACTAGAGTCAAATGAGGGACGAATTGGGGTCGAATGAGGGTCCAACTGGGGTCGAATCAGGGTCGAATTAGAGTAGAATCAAGGACGAACTAGGGTCGAATCACGGACGAAGTAGGGTCGCTTGAGGGTCAAACTAGAGTCGAATCAAGGTCCAACTAGAGTCGAATCAGGGACGAACTAGAGTCGAATCAGCGTCGAACTAGAGTCAAATCAGGGTTGAACTAGAATCGAATCAGGGCGAACCAGAGTCGAATCAGGGACGAACTAGGGTCGAATCAGGGTCGAACTAGAGTCGAATCAGGGTCAAACTATAGTCAAACCAGGGGCGAACTAGAGTCGAATCAGGGTCGAATCAGGGTCGAACAATAGTCGAATCAGGATCGAACTAGAGTCCAATCAGGGACGAACTTGAGTCGAATCAGGGTCGAATCAGGGTCAAACTAGAGTTGAATCAGGAACGAACTAGAGTCGAATCAGGGTCGAATCAGAATCGAACTAGGGTCGAATCAGTGACGAACTGGGTTTGAATCAGGGTCGAACTAGGGTCGAATCGGTATCGAACTAGAGTCGAATCAGGGTCGAACTAGAGCCGAATCCGGGCCTAACTAGAATCAAATCAGGGTCGATCGAGGGTCATACTAGAGACGAATCAGGGACGAAATGGGGTCGAATCAGGGTCGAACTAGGGTCGAATCACGAGCGAATTAGAGTAGAATCAAGGATGAATTAGAGTCGAATCAGAGACAAACTAGGGTCGCATCAGGGTCGAACTAGAGTCGAATCACGGTCCAACTAGAGTTGCATCAGGGACGAACTGAGGTCCAATTAGGGACGAAGTAGGGTCGCATCAGGGTAGAACTAGAGTCAAATCACGCTCCAAGTAGAGTCGAATCAGGGATGAACTAGGGTCGCATCAGGGTCGAACTGGAGTCAAATCATGGTCCAACTAGAGTCGAATCGGGGACGAATCAGGGCCGAATCAGGGTCAAACTAGAGTCAAATGAGGGACGAATGGGGGTCGAATCAGGGTCCAACTGGGGTCGAATCAGGGTCGAATTAGAGTAGAATCAAGGACGAACTAGGGTCGAATCACGGACGAAGTAGGGTCGCTTCAGGGTCAAACTAGAGTCGAATCAAGGTCCAACTAGAGTCGAATCAGGGACGAACTAGAGTCGAATCAGCGTCGAACTAGAGTAAAATCAGGGTTGAACTAGAATCGAATCAGGGCGAACTAGAGTCGAATCAGGGTCGAACTAGAGTCGAATCAGGGACGAAATGGGGTCGAATCAGGGTCGAACTAGGGTCGAATCAGGGTCGAACTAGAGTCGAATCAGGGTCAAACTATAGTCGAACCAGGGGCGAACTAGAGTCGAATCAGGGTCGAATCAGGGTCGAACAATAGTCGAATCAGGATCGAACTAGAGTCCAATCAGGGACGAACTAGAGTCGAATCATGGTCGAATCAGTGTCAAACTATAGTCGAACCAGGGGCGAACTAGAGTCGAATCAGGGTCGAATCAGGGTCGAACAATAGTCGAATCAGGATCGAACTAGAGTCCAATCAGGGACGAACTAGAGTCGAATCAGGGACGAACTAGAGTCGAATCAGCGTCGGACTAGTGTCAAATCAGGAACGTGCTAGGGTCGAACTAGAGTCGAATCGGGGTCAAATCAGAGTTGAACTGGCGAACTAGGGACGAATCCAGCTTGAACTAGGGTCGAACTTTTCTCCCACACACGTTACCAATTTTAAAATTTGTAAACGCTAGCATAAAAACTGTAACCTATTTTTCACCCGATTGTGAATAGACCAAGCCGAACTGATCTTGGGTCTTCATAATTGAGACGATACAAAACACGTAGTTTTGAGAATTCGACCTTGACAACCCTGGTCGAGGTTTAAGATTTATGTTTCGACCCAGGCGGGTCGAACACATGTCTGAGTTCGACCGAAAATCCATATTCGAGAAGGCTCTACAGTCGACCTCAAAGTCGAAACATATAGTCGAGTCGGTCGAAACATAAAGTCGAACACAAAGTCAATGAATCAACGGAGGTCTTTAACTATTCCCTTTATTGCAAAATCGTCGTTACTAAGTCCTTAATCCGCCTATCATTAACCGTTGAACTACCACTTTTTAGGGAGGGGGGGGGCTTAAAGGGGCGAGAAATATTTCAGCAGACTCCAATCAACATAAATACAATGCTTGTTGTTAGCTGATGTCTGTGGCGTTCATGTTCATCGGGAATGCACTGATGATGAACTTACTCATTGCCATGTACAAGGGCATCTTTGACCACGTGATCGAGAAGGCGGACGAGGAGTGGAAGACGGAGATGTATTGGCTCAACCACGAGTTCAAAGGTCAACACTATTTCTTCGCCCGAATTGTTTTATTGATTTTTGACTCGAAAAGTCGTTTCACAATTCCATTGCAAAACGATTTGATTATGTAACTAAATGTACAAATACAAACTCGGATATGGGATTTTGAACGCAGACTGCGAAATGGTTTTTAACCAAAAAATACCACTCTCGTTATGTGGTAAGTAACTATGGCGTCGGCCGAATTTTTTTGCCGCCTGATTTTGTCTATCTCAAAGAAAGCTTGTAGTGTGTAAAGTGTGGTATCATATTGAAGCCCTTTAACCCAGTTTTCAAAAAACGTTGTTGAACGCTTCGATGCTACATGTATAACAAACGGCTATCCTTGGTGAACTTACCAAGATCGATAGAACTGAAAAGCTTGATCCAATCCAGCCATGATAAAAAAAATTAAAGGCATAGTTTCAGTTGGAAAGCAAACACATGTCTTAGAGAACCCTTTAATATGCTAGTTTCCACACATAACGTTCGCCGAAGTGACATAACTTGTATTTTTACTTTTGAAAGCGTGTCCAATAAAAAAACGTCCGAAATTTTAGGCTGACCAAATTGGGCTTTTTTCCCCTTTTTCTCCCCACCTCGCACGAGCATTAATTTTATGGTTTTACAAGGTTAAGTATGGAGACCAAATTTGTTTGTCATTGCCTAATTAGTCCTCATGTTAGTTTAGTCCTCATGTCCTTATGTATGTCGAAATTGTCGAAAAAAAGAAGGTATGTCAAAATGAATCAGGCTAATTTTGAAATAAAAACATGCCAAGGCAATATAATGTAAAATTCGCCTCTGACGAAAACTTATCAAGCTGTAACAAAGCCGAAAATACCTTAGCATAAACCTTCTGAGCCGAAAAAAGTCAACAAGACTTATAAAAATTTAACAAGTCCCCTTCACCCTCAAAACAGACACACACATACACACACATACACACACAAAAACAAAACTTTATTTGCTCGTAAAAAGAAAAAATACGAGGGCACTAAGCCGATATAACATAGACCAAAACCTTTAAACCAAAAAAAAAAACAGAAAAAGAAAATTAACAAAAAAGCCGAAAAAATTCAAAACAATTTAAGACCCCCTTGCCCTTGAAAATTATTGAGTCCCCCTTGCCCTTGAAATACACACACGCACAATTTTTTTTGCTCCGCGAAAGACGCAATATAAGGCTATAAGGCCAACATAGTATAAACAGAAAGCTATCAAGCTGGAAAAAATTTTAAAAAAAAAACCGAAAAACTTTGTCTTGAACAATTTGAACTGTAATTTTTGTTAAGATTTTAGCGATTTGTGCAATCCAGTGACCAAAAAGATTATATTTATCTCGAAACGCTTCAAAATTAGGTATGTATGCCGGTAAAAAATAAACAAAACTCATTTGGGCAGAAGACACTTTTTAAGCGAAAAAAAATACAAAATAGATTGCATACGATGTCAAAAAATTGCAAACAGCAGTAGTAAATCAAAACATTAAAAGCAGTTACAATGTAAGTTTCAAAAAAAAATTATACGATGTGGCAAATAAATCGACAAAACATTCGATACGAATAATACGCCGAAAATTTGTTTTGAAACGGAAGATTTCTCGTTCGTAAAAAAAATATGTTCTATCAGATTTGATCTTAAGACCTTTGCCGCCCAAGGTGTATTCGTTATCGCAAGAGTAACTAACAACAAATAATGCGAACAATTATTTTAATAGTAAAAATTTGCAGGTGGAGATGTAAATGCAAATAAAGCCCCAATTTCAAGTCGGAAATCCCTACCCAAAACACTAAAACGATCGTTTGACTCTTTTTGTTCCGACCATTGAAAATGGGGAGGACCTTTGTATTCGGGTATGTTTTAGTTTTTTTTCTTTTTTTCTTTTTTTTTCCACCCAAAATCAGGTACCAAAAAAAATATTGGATTGGGTTGAGTGATATATAATATTCAAGCCCTTTCAGTCGCGATTCGATTCACACTAAAAAATTGCCAAAAAATTTTCCCAGTATCAAGAAAATTGCCAAAAAAATTTCCCTATCAAGAAAAACAGGTTTAAAATTTTTGATTTTTAGTCTAAATTCGAGCGAATAATGCGATTGAGCAGTCTTACAATAGCTGATTTTTGCTTAATTTAGGCCGTGGAAACTTGTTTTTACTCATGAATAGTTTTTTTGCGCCATTTGGAAATTAAAAACTTCAAAAATTCAAAAAAATAAATCCAAAAAATTTTTTATGCAAAAAATAGTCAAAACATTTTTTGAAAAAAAAAACAAATTTGAAAACCCTTTTTTTTGTATTTTTTTAGGCTGTAGTCGGAGCATTCAATGCTACTTGCACAGTAACTAGCACAGTATCCTTGTTGAAAATTTTTGCTCTCTTGGCGCTGGGTTATACCTTAAATTACTGACCCAATGGTGCTTCCTTCAGAAAAACTTTAAACTTGGTGGACCTAAAAAAGATGATGTCGCTAAATTGTTCCTAAGGGGACCCTTTGGGTAGCCAGGGCCTCAATTTCCTGAAATCTGGCGTACTCTGAATACCCTTACCTCATTATCCAAAACACCCCTGATTTTTGGAACTCCACGCTTAGTTTTCGTCAACGTGTTGCTAATTCAGGGAAGACCATTCTTCCTCCGCCGTTCTCCATCTTCGAGTCAGTGTGGCTGATTGGCTGCAAACTGTTCTGCTGCTGCAAAAAGAACGGACGTCCCAAACATCAGAGACCCAGCAAGCAGGTTAAAATCCTCTACAAATAAAATCACCAATATGCGAGCTGTTTATCTTATTAACTCGAACCATCTAGTGTATTTTTTTCTGTTATTTAGCAACGCTGATGAATACCTAGACCACAAGCAAATCACGCAAAAGTCATGCTATAGGGTATCACAATTTCAAGTGAATGTAGATAGTTAAAATCCCACAAAATGTGTATAGTTAATTTTTCCGTTACTAGAAATAAGAAGTTTACTAATCAATTTATATGTGATTGACATTTTTGAGTGATCTAACCAGATCTAAGGGTGTGGAAGGAAGGATTTTCAAAAAATTTTGGAAGTTTTGTCGAGCTCGTCTTAAGTCGACCATTGATTTTCCGAGCTTTTTTAATATATATTGGCGCCTTTCGAGAAACCTTTCGAGTTAGTCGACCGAAATGGATGTCTTCAGATACTACCAAAAGGTAATCCCCCCCCCCCATAAATCCGCCCCTGGATCTACCCGGGCCGAGTTCCACGACTCATGTTGCGACCGAAATGGATAGCCGAAATGGACTTTCTGCGACCGAAATTTCATAGTCCCGCAAGAGGCTTGAGTCGTACAAAGTCGCAACATTGGTCGCACAAAGTCGCAACAGGGGTCGCGCAAAGTCGCAACATGGGTCGGGCAAAGTCGCAACATGCTGGCGCAAAGTCGCAACATGGGTCGCGCAACATGGCAGTTATAACTGTCATGCTGGTAAAATAAGCTGAAAAGGAATTTGAATTGTGTTCAGAAGCGTCAACTTCGTCAGATGCTTGAGGTGTTTGAGAGACATTGTGTGGCCGAGATGCTGAAACGGAACGTGACAGAAAGCAGCCCAGATGACGTCATAAGAGAGATGACTCACGACCGGATGAGCTCGATCGGAGAGATCGATGACTCCATGTTGAGTGTGATCAGACTCACAGAGGAACAAGCGAGCAAGAGAGAGGAGAAAAAAGAAGCTTTGAGGATACTGTTTCTCAAATCAATCCGATGAATCAGAAATCTTAAAATGCAGTTAAATGTTAAGCAATTGGAAATTTTATATTTCAATGAAATATAGGTGCAGCAAAAAAGAGATTTGGCTGAAAATCATTTCCAGCTAATGAACATTTCCAGAGCCGCCTTAAAAATTAACTCTTTTTCGATGTCAGGAGAATCATGGCTGCTCCTCTGAGATCTTTCCAAAAAGTATAAATTTATAAAAATTTATATCTTAGAAGTTATTTCAAAAACTTTTTTGAGTAGTTCATAGTGTTTGCGTGTTATATTATCAAGTACTTCTATATTCCGAATGGTAAAAACTGTAGTAGAAATAAAAATTTAATTCAAGCATATGCATCGACCCAAAAACTTACAATGATGGAAAGGGTTTCCCTTTTGGTATCGACTTGTCACAATGTCAGCACTAATGAAAGACGTATATAAAGAACCAATGAAAACTATAAAAATTTTGTAGAAATTATAAATACGAAAGCATAACAAGACATCTCGTATCAGGGCGAAGCCCTGAAAGTTTCGACTGCCTTTTAAGATTTATGGAGCAGTACTAACATTAAAAATTCAATGAAATAAAACAAAAGAAATTTTTTTTTCTAAAATGTGAAATTTTTTATAAAAATCATCCCCCAACACGCCATATAAGGTACAAAAGGATAGATTTCGCTCCTTGTAACAAACCAATTATGGCAAATAATTAACCAATTTGGAACGATTTCTAAGACGGATTAAATCTCGCTGACGCGTTAATAGCGCGAAATTTATCGCGCGTTAATTGTCCCAAATTGGCCAAAATGGCAATCTTTAAACCCCCATAACTTTACGAAAAATAATCACAGGTAAAATTTTATTTCAAATTCAAGCTCAGGACAGCAATAGCTTTCGAATGATATAAAAAAATTCCGTCAAAAACGGCTAGTTAAAAAGTCGAAGTTTGTCTGAAGAAAAAAAAAACCCACCCCGAGCACAAATATTCGTTACTTTCGTATCGAAAGTCGGAACAAAAATCAGATTCAAGATGGAAAAGACAATTTAAATTATTGGACCTATTTCTTGATTCGATCAAGCTTGGCGCTTTATTTTTAAAAGTTTTGTTAATTAACTTTAACTGCGTTACTCTTCAGTCTCCTATAAACAGCATTTCCACCACCTGACAATTAACTATAGCTGCGTTTAGGAAAGTGAAGCAAAACTACTAAGCTAATTGGTTTTTGTTCCGACTTTCGTAACCAAAATAGCGGAATATTTGTGCTCGGGCTGGGCTGGATTTTTTCAGACAAATTTCGACTTTTTAATTAGCCATTTTCGACAGAATTATTTTAATATCATTCAGAGAGTATTGCTGTTTTGAGCTTAAATTTGGAAAAAATATTTCACCTGTGATTAGTTTTTGTAAAGGTATGGGGTTTAAAAATTGCCATTTTGGCGATATATTTTGCGCTATTAACGTGTAAGCGGAGATTTAATCTGTCTTTGAAATCGTTCCAAATTGGTTGAAGGAAGCTTATTTGCCACAATTGATTTGTTACTCGGAGCTAAATCTCTTTGGACTTCGTATGGCGTTATTATTGTCTTCATATTACCAAAAATCTCAAATTTTTTTAGAAAAAATTGTTTTTTCGTTATATTTATTACTTTCAATTTTTTCATATTATTACTGCTCCATAAACCTTAAAATGCAGTCGGAATATTCAAGGATTTGCCCTGATACGAGCAGTATTGTTTCAGTTTAGTGTAAATTATTTAATGCTTTTAAGCGTATATGAAAGATGAAGGCATGTTAAAAGATGCCTTCAAATAAGCTTCCTTCAACCATTTTGGAACGATTTCTAAGACGGATTAAATCTCCGTTTACTCGTTAATAGCGCAAAATATATCGCGCTTTAATTGTTTCAAACTTTATTGGCAATCTTTAAACCCCATAACTTTAAAAAAATGCTCTCAGGTTAAATAACTTTCAAGTTCAAGCTCAGGACACCAATACCTTTTGAAAGATATAAATGAATTATAAATCATCACAAAAAAATAAAGAAATTCAAGTTCAAGATCAACAGGTTCCGTCATAAATGGCTAGTTTAAAAGTCGAAATTTGCCTGAAGAAAAAAACACCCCGGGCACAAATGTTCGATTACTTTCGTTACGAAAGTCGGAACAAAAATCTGTACAGCAGAATCGAACTTAGTCGGGTCTGAAAGCTATTTGATGCAAAAGTTAGCAATCAAACTCATGAAATTTTTTTGCTATTTAGGAAAATAATTTCATCTTGCAAATTTTACATTTTCAGCTTACAGCATTGAAACAATTAAACGCTGAAATTTTAAAGTTTTCGAAAATTCCATAAAACGATTGTTTTCGAAAATTCCATAAAAAAATTCCATAATTTTTTGAAAGACAATTAAAAAATCTTCACAAAAATATTTCTATTTTTGTTATCTCATTTTTCTTTTTCAAGTTTTGCTATGATAATTGAACAGACATTTGTTGGTAATCAAAAGGAATATTCTTGGTTTGAGGTCAGTTCCTTTATCACGTAATCTGATACGGACAAATTAACAGGCAGTAGGGAGCAATGTATTTAAAATAAACCCTGTCAGCAACGTATCGCTTTGCATTATAAATCTGGTGCTTAAGTCTTCTGCTGCTTAGAATAATTTTTCTCGAAGTTTTCAGGCTATGTTGTATGTATCACCTCACCAGCTGGCTATCATTCATTCATTTCAGTTATTTACAGTAATAACATAGTAGACTGAATTTTAGTCTCTTTGACGAATTTTAACAGTTAAAGTTGTTGAACGACGGGCATCTTTTGATACGCGACACACAGCCCAAAAAATTTACACAAATTCTTAAAGATTTTAAAGAAGTTTCGTATATCATTTCAATTCTTCGCTGATGAGGCTTCAATATAATATTTTGTATGATGATGCTGCATATATGCTTTTCGTCTCAAGGAATCTATTTCGACTCGAGAAGTTATGAAAAACTAAATAATTAAATAGATACTGGAATTTTCCATCTTCGGAAAAAAAAATTATTTTTTTTCCAGTTATTTTTTTTTCAATTTAACCCCGCGACCTTATTGACTTTGTTATTGACAATGATTTTCACAGTCAAATTGATTGTTCAATTTAGCTGCGAAGAAAGCGAGCTATCTTCTCGGTTAGTTAACAACTATTAAAAGCTTTCCAACGGTCTGCTGATTATTTTGTTTCTGATGTCGAAGTTTAAGATTGATTTATCAGGCGCTATTTTTGTTCAGGGTTTTTCTGTTAGCTTAAGAAAAACACAAAAACCCTGAAAAAAACCCTTGATTTCACCCATCCCCCCCCCCCCCTCCTCTCCCCCACGCATAAAAATTGAATGGATTTTATTGGTCATATAATTTCTATATAATCTGTACCAAAATATGCACTTAAAATAGATTTTGGTGCTTATCGAATTGATTAAAATAAGTATAAATTGCTAAATTGCAATCAATTTGATAGTAAAAAAAAAATCTTTTACTTATGTCATAAAAAATTTAGATAACGGAGCGTAGTGACATACTACGATGTCGACTTTTTTCCAAGTAAATACGAATTAGTTTTAAAAATCTATAAAAATATCGAAGTTGAATTGTATAACCGTTTGCCATAATGAGAATACATTCAATTGCTCGGAGAAAAGTTTTGAATAATTTTAATAGAAACCACACAACGCTTTCAAAAAAAATAAAAAAAATAACTTCCATGTTTTTTGCAAAGTCTTTGAGGTTGAAACGATATCGAAAACTCACTAGCCGGTTGTTCAGTAAACAAATTTTGATCTTCTCTCTGAGCCAGGCAGCATAAACTGCAACAATACTGCTCGTATCAGGGCGAAGCCCTGAAAGTTCCGAATGCCTTTTGAGGTCTATGGAGCAATAATAAGACAAAAAATTTCAATGTAATAAAAAAAAAAAATAACTTTTTGAAAAAATTTGAGATTTAACGTAAAAACATCCCCCACACGTCGTATTAAGTACAAAGTGATAGATTTTGCGCCTATTAACAAATCAATTATGGCATATAAGTTTCCTTGAACCAATTTGGAACGATTTCTAAGACGGATTAAATCTCGCTGACGCGTTAATAGCGCGAAATTTATCGCGCGTTAATTGTCCCAAATTGGTCAAAATGACAGTCTTTAAACCCCCATAACTTTACAAAAAATAATCACAGGTAAAATTTTATTTCAAATTCAAGCTCAGGACAGCAATAGCTTTCGAATGATATAAAAAAATTCCGTCAAAAACGGCTAGTTAAAAAGTCGAAGTTTGTCTGAAGAAAAAAAACCCACCCCGAGCACAAATATTCCATATCAAAAATCGGAACAAAAAGAGATAGTTGAAAGTAATGGAAGATTATGGATTATGCTCTGAAACATTTTTTTGTTGAAGGTACTAGATAATCCCACTTTTTTATATTTTGTTTTTGAGAGCTGCAAAAACAGTTTTTTCTATGGAAAATAGGTTTCTCGGATTTTTTCTGCTTTTACTTTTCCGGAAAACCCGGTTTTTATCTCAGTTGTAAAAAAAACTGCTTGTTAAATATTTTAATCAATGGTGCATTGCACTCTTTTGAAGCGCTTCCTGTCAACCCAACTCTAAAAAAATCTATAAAATAAAGATTTCAGTTATTTGAAATTTGTGCCTTTGGGCGTTCTAGTTTTTTTCCCCTGTTACTATTGATTTCCTGAGTTTTCATCAGGGTGCAATCGAACCCAAACGTGAAAAACAAATTTGAAGGACAAATGAGTTATTACAACAAACACAAAAAAAAATTTATAGTCCTATACAAAATTTCTGTTCCTTTACAAAATTTTCGCAATTGTTGAAATTTCTTAAAAGATTTCATCACATATTCAACAACAACAAAAAAAATCCTTGCATCTGCTTTGAAGTTTTGCTCGTTCAACTTTTATTTCAAAACGTTTTCTGAATTGCATAAACAACGTTGATGAACCTCAAAAAAAAATTAAAAGAAAAGTACTTCGAAAAATAGTAAGTAAAAATATATGAAAAGTTAACTCAAACTTCAATATGTAAACACGCATGATAATTTTTTTTCATATAGTTTTTATAAAGTTTTTTCTAAATAAATTTATTCCACTTTCAAGCCCAAACGTAAAGAAAAAACGTATTAGAAGACGAATGAGTGAATATAACCGATACAATCAAAATGGATATGTAATCATAGTTGTATACGAAATTTCTGGCCGAATTGTTGAAATTAATAAAAGAGGTTCAATCGAGTATTCGACAAAAAAATTCAGTGAATCGAATCGTCCTGCAAATTTTCTTTGTTCGAGTTTTAGTTCAAAACACTTGTGTAATTGCATAAACAACAAAACTTTTTAAAAATGAAAAATATATTGAACAAGACTGCTCGTACCAGGGCGAAGCCCTGAATGTTCCGACCGCCTTTTAACGTTTATGGAGCAGTAATAACATTTAAGAAATTAAATGAAAAAAAATGAAATTTTTTTTTCTAAAATTTGAATTTTTTTAATGAAAATCATCCCCCACACGCCATGTTAAGTACAAAAGGTTAGATTTTGCTCCTTGTAACAAACCAATTATGGCGAATAAGCTTCTTTTAACCAATTTGGTACGATTTCAAAGACGGATTAACTCTCCGCTTACGCGTTAATAGCGCGAAATATATCGAGCGTTAATTGTCCCAAATTGGCCAAAATGGCAATCTTTAAATCCCCATAACTTTACGAAAAATGATCACAAGTGAAATATCTTTTCAAATTTGAGCTCAGGACATCAACACCTTTCGAATGATATAAAAAAATTCCGTCAAAAATGGCTAGTTAAAAAGTCGAAATATGTCTGAAGAAAAAAAAAACCCACCCCGAGCACAAATATTCCGTTACTTTCGTACCGAAAGTCGGAACAAAAACAAGAATAAATATGTAAGAACTTTTTTAAACTGGTGATATAATCATTTTCAAGTTAATGATAAAGAGTGTAGCAACTAACCCCAACATGTACATCTCAATCATTTTTCCAACTAAGTTTTGCTGTGGAAGAGTTAGTTTTTAGCAGCTTCAGTAAGCGCTTACGGCTTACCCATAACCTTTTTCACGGCCACACATAGTTCTATCTAAAGAAGACAAGTCGTCAAGTTTTATAGATTTGAAGGAAACCAGATCTAAAAACTGGAAACCGGATTATACTTTTCTGGTACAGAGCAACGGCCATTAATTTTTCCAGTGTAGCCAAATCTAAATTTATTGGTTCGCTCTCTGCTGGAAACAAAGGCCATAAAATCAATTTTAGTCAGTTTGATCATAATAGCACTTGGAAAGAACTGACCAGAATTTCTGTATTTATGTTGTTTTATCGTTATTTCACGCATATGTGTATGATTCACTAAAATATTTCATACATTCATTACCAAACAAAAATTGGTACATCTTTCATTTCACACTGAGAATTACAAAAAAAATCATACAATGCAAACATATTTTGATGTCACTTGTTGTGTAATTTAAAAACGGATTACTTTTTGCGTACAGAGCAAAAACGAAATATTAACATCGGAGTTTAGATGTTGTAGTCATTATTGACAATTGTTGATTCCCTTTGCAATTTAGGCAATGGGGACAACATCACCGTGTTTTAATTCTGCGTTTCAGTTCACAATTACAGCAGGAAGCGTATTTTTCGTGTACGGCTGTTACGCGGTCATTCAGGAATGGATTTTCAGAATTCCGGTAGGTCACAATTTTTTGGAGTTCTCGATTGAAGCTTTAAAAACAACCTCAATGCCATGCTAGTCCAATTTTTCTAAACTAGAATGAATTATATAATACATATTTGAACTTTGTATTATATAATTCATTCTAGAGACGCGTGAAAAATCTCTTTTTTAAAAGAAGCCATCATTTTGATGGAGCTGTTCCATTTTCAGGACGGCAAACAAGGTGGTTTTGAGCCAAAAACTGTGTTTTTTTAAAGCAAATGCTGCGTTTAGAACATCAGAGAATACGGTGCATTTTTGACAATGATGGAATTTGGCTTGCGCAGTATTCTATGCTGGGGTCAGTTCTGGCTGCAGCAGACCTGTGCTAAGAGGAGGGTTCAGCCATGTGCCCCTTTCCGGTGCTACATCCTAGTTGGTTTCACAAGCGCTGCCACGATGGTCTTCTCAAACTGCTCACTCTCTTATCTCAATTATCCGACACAGATGATGTTCAAAGTCATAACTCCATAACTGATCTCAATTAATTGAACTCAATGCAAAAACAATAAGTACAAAAAAGAAAAGTCAAAATGAGATATTAATTAGACAGTCAATTTCTACCAAATTTTCAATGCAGCTTGATATTTTTTAGAATAAACTTTTTCATCTTAAGAAACATGTTTCCAAATTGCAAATTTTAGAGCTGCAAGCTGATTCCAGTGATGATTGGCGGGATTCTCGTGCAATCAAAACGCTTCCATTCCTTAGATTACCTCTCAGTTATTCTCATGACATTCGGACTAATTTGGTTCACAAAAGTCGACAAGACCTTAAACACCGAATTCAACATGCTCGGAATATTCTACATCTGTTCAGCTTTAGTTTTCGACGCGTTTTTAGGAAATTTCCAGGAAAAGATTCTGCGAGATTATCGAATGAGCCAAGCAGAATTGACGACATATTCCTATTCGTTCGGAACTTGGGCTCTGTTCGTGATCGTATCGGCAGATGGATCACTTGTTGAGGGTTATCGGGCACTGAAAAGTGCGGCCCCGCTGAGTCTAGAACTCATGCTAGCCCTGACAGTTTGTGGATTTCTTGGAATCAATTTGGTTTTAGTTCTTATCAGGGTATGTATTCTGCTTTATCTATGCCAAATCCTTTTTAAAGAAAACTTAATTTTGAGTGAGGTAAAAAAGTAAAGACTATAATTTTGAAAGAAAACTAAATAAGGAGGTAAAAAAGTAAAGACTATAAATTTCAAATTAAAATTTTTCGCTCAAATTAAACACGTAGAAACGTTAGAAGGGCAAAGCTTTTTTAGAGTCGATGAACGCAGTTCAGACTCTCATATTGGTCGCGATGATTTTTTATAGTTTTTTTTGCGTGATTGACATCTTGTTTCAAAAGAGGAATCTAATTTTCAGATTTCTTCTCGAATTAAAATATTATCTATTGGTTCAGATTTCTCAAATTGGGTTAAATTTAATCAACAAAGTGGTAATCATAAATTATTCTAGAAATTCAAAGAGCTTTAAGAACGTCTCTTTTTGTCTTTCAAATTCGAAAGATGAGATTTTTCATGCTTTGAGCTAATTGACTCATTTTCAACTGTCTGTTGCCAATAATTATATCAAAAAACCTCGATCGATATATATTTCGAATTTCAGCGCAATGGTGCCTTGGTCAGCGTAACAGTAACTACTCTTCGCAAAGTCATCTCAACTGTCATCTCATTTCTAACCTTCGCCAAACCCTTCTCGGTTGAGTACCTCTACGCCGGATCCCTTCTTTTATCCGGGGTCACTTTGAACATCTACGGGAAGAACAGGAAGAACTGTTCGTCCCTCTGGTGGGCTGTGTTTTCCAGGACATGTCTCAGATATACGAAGATGTGTTTCAAGTTCAAGAGCGAAGATAGCCCAAGAAGTCAATTGGAGAAATCGATTATCATGCAAGCATAGGTCGCTCGTTTCAAATTTGTTTGATCTTAATGTTCTTTGAATAACTTATAGCCCTATCATTTAAGAAGCATATGTCAATAAAAGGCGAAAAAGGAGATGCAGTTGAACATTTTATTTACGTGACAGTAAAAATGTATTCAACAAGAATAAATAAAGTTACAAATAGTTTGCGGCCTGTTGACAACTGAATCTTATGGTGTTAATGTTAATCATCGATTGGCTGTTTTTGTTTGAGTTTTTAACGAGATAAAAAATCAGCCGTACATATTCAAAAATATAATCTATTTCAAAAAAATTTTTTTTCTTCGACAAAATTTCGACTTTTTAACAAGCCATTTTTGACGGAGTTTTCATCATTGGAAAGCAATTGTTGTTCTGGATTTAAATTTGGAAAGATTTTTCACTTTTGATCATTTTTTGTAAAATTATGGGGGTTAAAAGATTGCCATTTCGGCCAATTTGGGACAATTAACGCGCCATATATATCGCGCTATTAACGCGTAAGCGGAGTCTTGGAAACCGTTACAAATTGGCTGAGGGAAGCTTTTTTGCCATAATTGATTTGGGGATCGATCGTTTAGCAGACCAATTTTCTTGCATAAAATTTGAAAATTGAGCCTTTTAGCAGATCAGCGTACTAAAGTTATACATGATTCATTGACAGACTCAAAATTTCGTTAGTTAGTTAAGACGATTTATCCACAAGGGAAAGGACCAATATACGAGCTGTTCAGTTCATCACGGAGATCCGCTGTTGTGCCCCTGGTTAAGATTTACATGCAATCTTTTCGGCTCTTCTTCTGGGCTGGGTAATGTTGCCGCAAGCAACGAGCACGTACTGCAATGAGGCTCAGTCTGGGATCAAGCTTACCCAATCGTAAGACAATCTCACGATTTGTCAACAAAACTATCAACTTCAAAAACACAATAGTCTAAATTGGCGGCAAAACTAAGGTTTTGCACATAATAACACTCGCGTTGAATTGAGACGCAGCGGAGCAAAGGTTCGCTAATCGCCAATGCCGCGTTTGAAGTTAGCGTTCTGACTTTATAAATGTTCTGAGTCTTCTGAAAGATTCGTCTGCTAAAAAACCGGTCTGCTAAAATCTCTAGCAGCAATTGATTTGTTACTAGGAGCAAAATTTATCACTTTGTATTTTACATTGATTTAAATGTGGGGAGATAATTTTCACTCTAAACTCAAATTAAAAAAAAATTATTTCGATTTCATTACATTTAATTTATTTTGTTATTACTGCCCCATAGACCTTAAAGGCAGTCGGAACATTCAGGGTTTTGCCCTGATTTGAGCAGTCTTGTTAAGTTCGTTTTGGTTTCCTGAAGCTGGTTTTTCCCCGCGATTGGTCAAAAAGTATCAACAAATGTCCCAGTCCATTAATCCAAAATTACGATAAAAACGTTTTCCGATCACCAGGTTAATACAAACCACGGTTCGAACTTTATGGTTTTTGAGACAATAGTGCATTTCGATAGCCGCAAGAAAATGTCAACTGTCATTGTATCTGGTAATCAAAAATGACTTGAAAATTCCATGATTAGTATAGGGTAGATTGGTATAGGGTAGAGTGGTATAGGGTAGATTGTCCTGCCACCGTTACCCGGGTCAAGATCCCGCTCAAAAATCGCTCAAGATATGAGCGGTTTGAGCGGTTTTTCAGCAAGATTTGAGCGATTTGGGCGGTTTTTTTGGAAAAACCACTCAAACCGCTCAAATCTTGCTTAAAAAACCGCTCATTTCTTGCGGTGATTTTTAAACGGTTTCTCAAGCAAGATGTGAGCGGTTTTTAAGCGGTTTTTGAGCGGTCTTATAAAGAAAACCGATTAAAACCAACAAAAAGGCCTGGAAAGGTAATGTGACCCCGGGTTGACCTCCATAAACCGAAAATGCTTATTTTGAATTTCCCCTTACCGAAAAAGCTTATCATATAATTGCCTGCATACAAATTTATGGAAAAATGCTAAACATACAATTTTCATACAATTTCAAAAAACCATTGAAAAACTATTCAATCTAGTTTCTCCGGCTAATTGAACCAAATACAACAGTCTGGTGATGAAAAATAACTACATTTAATTTTTTTTGAAAAAAAAAATGGTTATCATACAATTTCCATATATGAAAAATTTTTTCATGAAAGGCAACATTTTCAGAAATTGTTCAAACTTGTTTATAAACAAATTTAAATTATTTAAGAGTGCTTTTGCTCAAATTAAAGGTCATTGCTCAACAAAGTTTAATCAAAAGTTTCAAAACTTAAGATTAAACATAAGCAATTTGAGCGGTTCGAACAATTGTTTCCCAATTAGCTCTTAAAACTGTTCACCCACATTTTGAAAACAATCACATCGAGCACTGTGCCTTCTGGTACATCATAACTTACTGCAGCCAAGCAAGACTTTGTCTGTAAAGTAATTCACGAGCTTGAGTTGAAAACCCGAGTGAATATGATTGTAGATTCAATTAGTTTTTGTTTTTTCTATTTGTGAACTACTTGTGAATCAAGTGCAGTCTTCGCAATCTGTGTTTCTTGCTCAGCGAGCGGTTGCGCATGTTCTGATGCTTCACAAAATTCAAGTCGACTTTCATCATCCAGGTTTGAATTTGCAAAATAGGAAATGTGCACATTATAAATGGTCTACCCGAGTCGAGATTTTTCACGTAATTTGAAGCAAGATTTGAGCGGTTTGAGCGGTTTTTTTTAGACAATTACGCTCAAAATCTTGCTTCAAAATGAGCGGATTGAGCGGTTTTTGAACGGTTTATCTAAAAAAACTGCGCAAGATTTGAGCGGTTTTTGAGCTGTTTTTTAGATAAATCGCTTAAAACCGTTCAAATCTTGCGCGGTTTTTGAGCGGTTTTTTTTAGATAAACCGCTCAAAACCGTTCAAATCTTGCGCGGTTTTTGAGCGGTTTTTTTTAGATAAACCGCTCAAAAACCGCTCAAAATCTTGCTTCAAAATGAGCGGTTTGAGCGGTTTTTGAACGGTTTATCTAAAAAAACTGCGCAAGATTTGAGCGGTTTTTGAGCGGTTTTTTAGATAAATCGCTCAAAACCGTTCAAATCTTGCGCGGTTTTTGAGCGGTTTTTTTTAGATAAACCGCTCAAAAACCGCTCAAAATCTTGCTTCAAAATGAGCGGTTTGAGCGGTTTTTGAACGGTTTATCTAAAAAAACTGCGCAAGATTTGAGCGGTTTTTGAGCGGTTTTTTAGATAAATCGCTCAAAACCGTTCAAATCTTGCGCGGTTTTTGAGCGGTTTTTTTTTAGATAAACCGCTCAAAACCGTTCAAATCTTGAGCGGTTTTTGAGCGGTTTTTTTAGATAAACCGCTCAAAAACCGCTCAAATCTTGCGCGGTTTTTTTAGATAAACCGTTCAAAAACCGCTCAAACCGCTCATTTTGAAGCAAGATTGTGAGCGTAATTGTCTAAAAAAAACCGCTCGAACCGCTCAAATCTTGCTTCAAATTACGTGAAAAATCTCGACTCGGGTAGACCATTTATAATGTGCACATTTCCTATTATGCAAATTCAAACCTGGATGATGAAAGTCGACTTGAATTTTGTCAAGCATCAGAACATGCGCAACCGCTCGCTGAGCAAGAAACACAGATTGCGACGACTGCACTTGATTCACAAGTAGTTCACAAATTGAAAAAACAAAAACTAATTGAATCTACAATCATATTCACTCGGGTTTTCAACTCAAGCTCGTGAATTACTTTACAGACAAAGTCTTGCTTGGCTGCAGTAAGTTATGATGTACCAGAAGGCACAGTGCTCGATGTGATTGTTTTCAAAATGTGGGTGAACAGTTTTAAGAGCTAATTGGGAAACAATTGTTCGAACCGCTTAAATTGCTTAAGTTGAATATTAAGTTTTTGTGGATAATAATTTTCCCATTTTGACAACTAAAATAAAGAGTTTTTAAAGTATGTACCCTTAAATTTATCCCACGACAAACTCATGAGTATGCGGACAAAGCTGATATAATCATGCTTGATGAAAAGTCAAAATCATTCAATTCAATAATTTTAGCGAATGAGCGCTCGGAAACTCGAAAATTTGGCACGATATATTGGCGTTGTATTTGGCTGCAAAATTGAGTTTTATACACAAATCAAGCAAGACTGCTCATATCAGGGCGATGCCTTGAATGTTCCGATTTCTAAGACGGAATAAATTACCGCTTACGCGTTGATAGCGCAACCTATCCGCGTTAATTGCCCCAAATTGGCCAAAATGGAAATCTTAAACCCCATAATTTTTTGAAAAATAATCACAGGTAGAAATCTTTTCAAGTCTAAGCTCACGACAACAACAGTTTTCGAATGACATGAAAAAATTCCGTCAAAAATGGTTAATTAAAAAGTCGAATTTTGTCTTAAGAAAAAAACCCACCCCTAGCACAAATATTCCGTTACTTTTGTATCGAAAGTCGGAACAAAAAGCAAATATTTAACTCAAGTTCTCCATAGCGCGAAAGAAATGCAAATCCGTTTTTTCTTCATAAACATGTATAATATTCTGCACTTTTTCGTTGAGCACCCGGTATTTTTTCTTTTTTTGTAAATTGGTGCCCACTCGAGGCGTTATAGAAATCAAGTTTTTGGACGGAAGCGTTTTTTTGCAAATTTGCAATCATTTTCCATGTACTGTGATGCGATCCACTGAAGTATGACTGTATGCCATAATGCCAGCCCTCTACAGCGTTTTTCTGGCCTAACCCGATGATGCCGCATCCCTTTGATTCCATAATGAAGGGGGGAATAGGGCCTCCCGATTCAAGACGAGACTTTTTATGTAGTTAGATCCAAAATAAAGGCAAAGCTCGTCAACTTTCGCCATTTTTTCTGCCTCTTTTATGGTGCGATCGCAAACTATTTGAATTTCCTCCACTATTTTATCGTATGAGTTTCCTAATTCTTCTTCTTTTTCAAAAACCAGTGCGGGTAACATTTTGAGTGCTGAAGCTAACTCGTCGTTTGTTTCGTAATCCTTTTTCAATCCGAGCTCCGCGATTTTTCTCATAAAACTTTGTGAAAGATGGAAAAAACATCCCGACAGCTTAGACTCGGGGAAAATTTTTCTGAAACGCTTGAATAGCGGCCTGCTCAAACTCCAGTAAAATTAGCACCAACTAGGTTATCTCAGTTTTTAAACGCGTAAGTGAGGGATTATTTCTCTTACTAATCGAAATGCAATTATTTTTGAGATGCTAGAGGCATCAAGTGAATTAAGACTAGCTTTTCAGGCCTCAATTAAAAAACTTAATTGGACTACTCCTGTACTTATAAAAAGGACTTAATTTGGAACAAATTATCGTCATTAAAAGGGTGTTAAATTGTTACGGGGTTATAATATAGGGGGTGTAAACATAGGGGGTTAAATATCGTAGGGTTAAGGAGTGGGACACCATAAATTACAGGAGTTCATCATCAAAAGTTGCAAGTACAAGGAAAATTTAGTCAATCCCGCGAAAAACCAAATTTCGTGTTCTGGCTTTAAGCGCGACAAAATAGCAGAAAAAGTATGTCCGACAAATCAATTTTTGCAAACTTGTAAGAATTGTTGGTTGCACGAAAAAACTCAAGTTTCCGATTACAAAAAAGTCTAGTTCCTGATAAGGTTTCTGGTTCCTGAACATGCGGCATAAATTGAGGCTAATGGAGCGTGTTATTGTTCCGACTTTTGATACAAAAATAACGGAATATTTGTGCTCGGGGTGGGTTTTTTTTCTTCAGACAAATTTCGACTTTTTAACTAGCCATTTTTGACGGAATAGTTTTTTATCATTCAAAAGGTATTGTTGCCTTGAGCTCAAATTTGAAAAGATATTTCACCTGTGATCATTTTTTGTAAAGTTATGGGGGTTTAAAGATTGCCATTTTGGCCAATTTGGGACAATTAACGCGCGATTTATTTCGCGCTATTAACCTGTAAGCGGAGAATTAATCCGTCTTAAACTCGTACCAAATTGGATGAAAGAAGCTTATATGCCATAACTGATTTGGGGTGATTGATTTGTTACAAGGAGCTAAATCTATCTTTTTGTTCTTTAAATGGCGTGTGGGGGGATGATTTTCATAAAAAATTTCAAATTAAAAAAAAAATCATTTTTTTTACATTTATTTTTTTAATGTTATTACTGCTCCATAAAACCTTAAAAGGCAGTCGGAACATTCAGGGCTTCGCCCTGATACGAGCAGTCTTGTTTTATTGAAACACTTACTTTTGTCCCACTTAAGTTTCTGCGTAATTTCACTACGTTAAAAATTTCAGCGGAACTTTTCAGTAGGTTACAACCAAAACGTTTTGACAGTTCGAATTGTTAATTAAGTTTCGGCACAAAAGTTTGCCTTATGAAATAAAAGTGAATAGATGTCATGATGAGGTCTTGAAAAACAAAATGGCATATAAGCATCACAATCAATCATCAGCATCGCACCAATAATACCGAGCGTTTATCACTCCAAAAGTGCTGATGGACAATTTAACTTTCCGAAAAGTTTTGATCAGCAAGCGGCTCTTTTCCAGTTCCCCCCTCCTTTCAAAATAACGAGTTTTATGTTTGTTTTACGTGTTATTACGGCTAAATGCGTGATTTTACGCTGTAAATTAGAAGAACAAATCTGTTCAGAATTGTCGATTTGTTCACCACTCCAAATTTCATTGCATTGTGACAACGTTAAATAGACTTTTCAAAATTGAATTTGAAAGGGGGGGACTGGAAAAGAGCCCAGCAAGCTTTACAATTCACATGTAAAGACCGACGTCGATATCAGCAACACAACAGCGATACATTCTAAGACGTCATTTTCTACAGAGTTGAAAAGGAAAATCACCCTTTTTTGTGGCGATTTCGGTGATTTGGTCGATAAACTGTTATGTTAGTTTTCTGGTTTCTAGAAGTTGTATCAAAAGTGTTGAACCATGTCTATGTTCTCGCATGTCTGCGTTATTTCGCTTTTTGGAAATCTCGGTTGATTTTTATCCAATTTATTCAGGTGATAGCAAAAATGCAGCGAAAATTGGTCGGCGTGGTAGACATGAAGCTAGAGATCTAGCGAGAAATCGTTTTATCACAGGGATCAAATGCACATGACAGGGGATCAAATGCCCGATCTTGTGATCTCAATGGGAATTCCTCTCGACTATGCTGAGACGACATCAGTGTTTTAAATCACTTCCTCGTGCGGCGTTGCGCGGTCCTTTTGTTAAAATTTGGTTCTATGACATTCTACTTTTTCCAATCTACCCTGTGCTAATCTACCCTATACTCTTCTATCCTACATACTAATATACCTCCAAAAATATCAGCCCCCTGCGGCCATGGGAACCTCAAAAAGTGTGTTTTTCAGAAATTCAATTGAATTTTTGAAAAATTATCAAATTGGATAAAATAAACAGAATCAGGAATGACTTAATTGCGCGAGAGAGTACAAATATTTAAAAATAGAATCTATGTTAAATTTTTTGCAAATATTTTTCAGCATCCAATTTGATTTCTTCCAGAAAGGAGTGAATGGATGGGTGGTTTCCTGGTACAAAACTGGTACAAAACTTAGAGCTGGAATTAAGCGCAACGACAAATTGAGTTCGTGATTAGTTTCATACAGCCGTTTTAGGCCCACATCGTTTATTTTCCGGTTGAACGCTTGGCATAAATAAAAATAGCAGACTTTAAGCAACGATCCTGTATGATGACTTGTGAAAGCATCATGTGCTGCACGTTCAAAATCGAGGAGAATGCGGTGAGGCTCGGTGTTTTCGGTACTGGCTGATAATCTCTTCAGTAGCTTTTGTGAGTGTGTTCAGTTCTACAGGAAATAAAATCGTTATCTCGGGTCATTGCAGTCATTTTGCATTTATGGGACCACCGCCTTGAACTCTTCCAGTGAATTTTCCATTCTTTGCTTCCTGTTTTTTGTTAAACTCGTGGGCACCGATTACAAGCGTTCTCCGATTCTGTTGGGAGAGACCCCAAGAAATTTGACAGAATTTGGTAAATGTTATTCGAAGGAAAATTGATATTGCGACGAAGTTTTTGTTTCCTTTTTGTAGGTGATATTGAAAATTAGGGATTAAAACCGGTTAATTGAGACAATTTTCTTAAGTGAAATACTGAAATTGAGTCCAAAATTTTGGACTCAAATGAATTAACACGTGCTGCTATTTTTCCGATTCTAATTAGGATTTTGAAAGATTACATTCATTAAGCGCAAAATCGACATAGGTTAAACTGGTATATAGCGCAGAATAGTATAAGGTAGATTAGTATAGGGTGGGTTAGTATAGGGTAGATTGGTATAGAGTAGATCAGTATAGTGTAGATTGGTATAGGGTAGATAAGTATGTAGGGTATAATGGCATAAGGTAGAATGATATAGGGTAGTTTGGAATAGGGTAGATTGTCCTGTCACCTAAAATTTTGCCGCAATTCATAGAACCTCGAGCCTCAAAGTCGGATTGATAATTATATATTCAGCCGAATGATAATCGCCTGTCAATAGGAAACTGGGGGGTAGATCAAAAGTTTTTGGGGGGAGAGTCGATTCTCGCCGCGCTCTGCTTCTTTATATATTTTGATTTGATGTATAAAAATTGGCCAAAAATTGATGTATAAAATTACCAAAGGGAGGATCTTTTGAGTGGCGAGGGGGTAAAATCCGGAACAAGCGATGCTGTGTTACGAGTTCAGATAAACTGTTAGAATTCAACCAATCAAAACCTAGTATTCAAAACTTTTGAAAGAAATAAGCGACAAATTCAATCAGTTTTGAACATTTTAAAGGGCATGAATTGGTTGAGAATTTTTGCGCAACGGTGCTTCGCGCATGATTATAGCCCCATTTCAAATTATGTGTCGCAAAATATATAATTTTGTGCTGTACAAATCGAGGGCAGCGGAAGATAGAGACTAACATAAAATTTTCCTCGTTGTTTTTGTTCTGGAAGAAAACAACTTCAAATAGTACATCTTTTCTATTTATTCTCCGCATTTCTGACTGAATTATTTTGAGCACTAACTCTTGTTGTGCGACTCAAGGTCAATTTTTATCCAGAATGTACGCGTGGTACTAATTTCGCAGTCAAATCAGTTAGGCTTTGGGAGACATGAAGCTTAAAATCAGGCGAGAACTCATTTTTTCACGCTATCATTGCCATGGCAGGGGAGCGAATGCACGATCTTCCTATCTCAAAAGGAAATTCATCTGAGAATGTGAAGAGCTTAGGCTTATGTTCAAAATCACGTCTTTGGTAGGATTTTGCCACGCCCTTTGATTGAAAGTTTGCCGCAATTCATACATTCTCGATCCTCAGACTCGGATTGATAAAGCTTTTTTATCAAACTCATTGACAATCGCTTTCTGTTCTGAGTGAAAAAACAACTTCAAATGATACATCCCAGGAGGTGGATCAGAATTTTTTGGAGGAAGGGGCCAATTTCTCGGCGCGCTCTCCCCATTTATATACTTTTAAATGGGGGCTTTGAAAAATGTAGGAGTAGGTCGGCCAAAAATGGATGTCGTAAAATATTAGCAAAGGGAGGACCTTTACTCTCCCATGTAATGTAGTCTATGGTGAGGCTTTGAATTTGGCCAATTGCGTAGGGTCGTAAAATATATCGCTTTGTTCTTTTAAAGGGACGGAAGATCGAGACTAACATAACAACTTCCTCCTTTGTTCTGGATGAAAACAACTTCAATGTTCTGAATCTTTTCAACACACCCCTTCAAGAATTGATGAAAAATTAATCAAATATACAGTTTTTGCTCTTAAAACTCAATTTCAAGAGCAGCCGTTTCTTTGAATTCAGTTATTAGTATGCAGTGCATGAAATTAAACAAGGGTTTCTATGTTTTTTGTTTCAAAATGTGTAGTACCATCTCTGAACGTTCCATCCTTTTTTTATCCCATAAGGGCAATCAATCGGCACAACCAACCAAGATATCCGTCTTCAACTAATCAGCCATAAGCCCCTATTTGCATACATGCAATTGGCTTTTAATACTTGTACTTGAGGCTTATCTATCTAAATCTCATTACAACAATGTATTATAATGGTATCATGACACGCAGCCATTTTGCATTTTAACTAATCAATTTCAGCCTCTTAAGCCCGCGGCACCTTCTGAGAGAGCGATCACTTAAATTTCAATTGCACATTTCCAACCCAAAAAAGTATCTAATTTTATTTCTGCTTTGAAAACATCCCTTTATCAATAAACTGAAAAGCGCCGTCGGAGAAAGAGCATTTTTGGAGTGAAAAAGGAAGCAAATTGAGCCGAAACTATTAATAATAGCTCAAAATTGTCTACATATCAAATATAATTAGTTTTTTGGATCTGGATCTGAAGCCAACTTATAGTAATATCCTTGAACTCTGGTTTCCTGATTCTAGCTGAAATGTCAGCAATGCCAAACGCTATCCAGAAGACCGGATCAGTGAGTAGTTTCGGGACGGCGACATCGCAGACCTTCTTGTTGCCTCCTGGAACTGAGAGCAATTCAGAAAGCCACTCGTAAGAATGAACTAACCCTCACAATATAAATTAGAACGTATGCCAAAAAATCCGGCTCAATGACGAAAATTAACTAATTTTTTATTGTTCCGAGCACGTCAATGAAAGTGACTAGAATAAACTACGGTGTAGGGTCCGTTTCTTCCGGCCAATTTTGACTAAATTAAGGAAAGTTCGTAGGATTTCCATTGTGTTATCATATTAGGCTTTATAGATCGTTAATGGGATTCTTAAAAAAATTCAAACTCTAACAAGAATAGCCAGTTGCTGTGCAATGTTCCGACCACAGTCTTAGAAAGAAAAAATATGCATGTTTGAGAGTCATAGCAAAATATTTCAATTGGAAAACAGTTTTTGAAGAAAATTACTAGAAAAATAACCAAAAAAAAAATTGCATGTAGTTCTTAAGCAGGGGCACAACAGCGGTTCGCCGTGATGGGCTGTACAGCTCGTATGTTGGTCCTATCCCTCGTGGATAAATGATCTTAAAAACGAAAAAAAAATTCAATAGATTTTTCAAATTTTTTTCCGGAAATTTTTTGAAAATTCAAGTTTTTTGATATCCAAAATTGCGCTAAAAAACTCCAAAAACAACTTTAACTGATTAAAATTAAGTTTTCACGGCTTAAATCAAGCTTAAATAAGCTATTGAAATTATTAACTATCTTATTAGCTAGCTCGAAATTAGACCAAAAATAAAAATTTCAAACCGGTTTTGCGGTTTTTCTCGACATTGTGAAAACTTTTTGGAAATTCTTTAAAATCGTTCGAATAACGACTGAAAGGGCTTCAAAATGATTTATCACTCAACCCTGTCCAATGATTATTTGTGGTAGCTGATTTTGCGTGGAAAAAAAACACCCGAATTCAAAATTACATGGTCGGAACAATAGCAGTTTTTTTCGCAGTGTCGATATAAATTGGTCTTCAGTTTCTTCCGTTCTTCAAACTAGTCAGACGAACTTTAATGAGAAGCTGGCCTCCCTAGTTCAGTTCTACTAGCATTTTAACGTTATATTATCAATAATTGCCACTCTTTCTTTTTTGTTCTGCTATTTCAATTGCCCCTTCAGGAAACTTGCCAATGTCTTGTTAGGAACCAGTTTATTTATGGATATTAAAACTAAAGCCATTAAGGGACTTATAACTAAGGCGATTTAACTCAGATGCCCAATGAAAATTTTTTACTAGAACGTATTTTTGCAAACATTTATGATTAAATCTAATCAATCGAAACAGAGACACCCCTTTCCATACACTGAGCCAGGCGAAAAAATTATTTAAAACATTATTAAACAATTTTTTGACACTTAGATCCAATCGACCCTCTGATGAGTTTAATTCTGTCTATAGCTAACTTTTGATTTGTTTTTCTTTTTGTTAAAACCGTGTAAAACTATCGTTGTTCGAATACGGCAAATCTCAATCAATCAAATTGGCTTTGATGAAAAATTTTACAAGTTAATTTAAAAGTTTTGTACGCAGAAACTTCTCTAACCATATTGATTTTAGTTTTAAGCATCAATTCGGTGACTGAATCTGTGTTGCACTTATAAAAAAAACTATTCTAATTAGCACTCTGATTTTCATTCCCAGTTCTAACAATTTGATTTTGTCAGTATTTGTGAAATAACTAAACTCCGTATTGTATGTATTATTGGTTGCACATAACTTTTATAGACATTTATTAATTGCTGTCCTGTTCACAACTTACTCAATTGGAAAAACTATCCAAAAACAGCACAACCTAATTATTTTCTTGATCAATATACAAATGAAAATTCGATTTGTTGTCGAGATGAAATCCATGATGTTTGAAAGATAAAATCAATTCTATTTTGGTGTTATTTGAAAAATAAAATAGATCGATACTGAACGTCAATCAATCACGATCGTGAGCCACTGTCAGACTCGAAAAAGCTGAAGATTATCTGTCAGTGTCAATTTAATTTTATAAACATATTACTTACTTCTAGCAAAGCCGATGGACATGTGAGCGCAACCTAGTCATTTTTGTTTGTGAACTCGAGAACCGTAAAAACGTTCTTGAAAAGTCCAACACTGTCTTTTTTTGGAAAAAACGGATTCAATTGAAATTAACGAAAGTCTTAAAATATCCATGAAATCCATGATATTCGAAAGATAATTAAATGTTTATTTGTGTGTTATTTGAAAAAAAACCGCTCACATGTCAACCGACTTCTAGCAAAGCCGATTGACAGGTGAGCGCAACCTAGCCTTTTTTGTTTGTGGACTTGAAAACCGTATCGTCTGCATAAAATTAAACCCTCTGTTACCCGTGCCTGTTTGAGGATCGTTTATTAGAAGAATGAAAAAAAGCGGGCCAAGAATAGATCGCAGATGTTCCCCAAAAGATGCTAGTTTAAGTTTGCTATCAAAAGAGAGTTTTTCTGATGTACTGACAACAAGTGTCAAAGTGAGATTCCAAAAAATTTAGCACATGCCCGCTGCTGAGTCTTATAGTCTAATTTCATTAGCATGCTAGAGTGATCCACCGTAACGAAAACTTTTATGAGATTTAAAATTGAATTTTTGACAGTTATTTTCTTTTTTTTTAACGACGTTGAAACAACTTTTAACAATTTTATACCTTCGGATTAGAATAATCTTGTCTACTTTTGAAAAAGTTCGATTGAAAACTAAAAATTGTCGCAGAACTGGAAGAAACGAAAAAGATCTGTGGTCTAAACAGTCATCATTTTGTCTTCAATTGAAATTGGTACGCTTTTTGCAATTGGTACAATTTTCGCAAATTTTGTAATTCGTTCAAATTTTGCAATTAGAAATTTTGCATTTTTTAAGACTTTCGTTGATTTCAACTGAATCCGTTTGTTACAAAAGAATCTTTGGCTGCTGATAGATTACAATAATTTTTGCCTAATTAGGTTTGCTTTCTGCAAGCCTGGCGCCAGTGTTTACCAGGAAATCGTTCAGACATTCACGTACTCCTCTGACAAATTAGGTGACTTGGAATTTTCCACAGATCATCCATTTCCTTGACAACTTTGAACAAGATTTGTGTTCTAGAATTAGACTGAAGCCTCAATCTTTTTTGATAGTAATTTTGTCTTTAAGGATGCCTAAGTTTTTGTCATTTTTTGGGAACTATATATGTTTCATATATCAAATTTTTCACAATATTCATGCTCTTCGCAAGGTTAATAACATTCCATTTGTTCCCGTAACCGCTTCTTTGCTGCTGCATATTTCTTTTCCTTGTCGATCCATGGATGCCTTCCTGTTTGTTCCAATAATCATTTTGGAAAGTATCAACTGCCTTTTACGAGGAGATGTTTTCGGGTAATCAGGATTCTATAACTGCATAGTTTTACCAATCTCAAGCTGTAAGAAAATTTCACTTTTCCTTTAAACCTTTGTCCAATTTGTTCCAGTTTCTAGCAGTAATTTTTCAGTGACGATTTTTTTTGAAGAGTTTTCAGACAAATTGAACTCCAGAATGATCAGACACTGAATATTCAATAAATTTAGTTGAGAGGTCGAATGCACAGAATAATAAGTCAATCAATGTGCCATTATGTTCGGTGACTCTTGTTTTCTTTCTAGCATGCCATTTTTTATCATATTAATCTCAATTTTCATTCGCTTTGCAGAATTTTTGCAATGAGCAAATTCACGTTGAAATCACCAATAAATATTTTTCAATTCTAGGCCCCGCAACAACCCATCTAAATTATTGTGGAGACTTTCGAAGTTTTCGTGGCTTAGCGAATTAGGTGGAATGTATATACAGATAACTACATTTTTCTGATTTGTTTAATTTTATGAGCGCTGACAAAATTTGAACTTTGTTATCTTTTGTTGCTTTAATATTTTTTATTTGATGTTGACATCTTGTACAATTTTTTCGATAATTTGTTTGAAAACAAAAACACTTAAGGATAGTCGGTTACTGTGCAAGGAGCACAGAATGTCCTGGCTACGATTTAAGAAAAGAAACTCAAAAACTCAATGAAGCCACACTGGACCACCTGCGAGCTTTCCTTGAGTTACGTAAAAGTAGTCGTGAAAACACATCGACGACAGTTCTATCCCTTGATTTAGTGGTCACAGCAATACGTTTTTAAATTTTCAAAAAATCTTTGGTCTTTTAATTAGTAAATCAAAATTACCGATGACTCTAAATTGGATCAAATTAAAATAAAACTCAAAATTAAACAAGACTGCTCGTATCAGGGCGAAGCCCTGAATGTTCCAACTGCCTTTTAAGGTCTATGGAGCATTAATAAAATGAAAATTTTCAATGTAATAAAAAAAAAATTTGAAAAAATAGGAGATTTTATTTAAAAACATCCCCCCTCAGGTAATATTAAGTTTAAAGTGGTAGATTTTGCGGCTATTAACAAATCAATTATGGCATATAAGCTTCCTTGAACCAATTAGGAACAATTTCTTAGACGGATTAAATCTCGGCTTACGCGTTAATAGCGCGAAATTTATCGCGCGTTAATTGTCCCAAATTGACCAAAATGGCAATCTTTAAACCCCCATAACTTTACGAAAAATGATCACAGGTGAAATATCTTTTCAAATTCAAGCTCAGGTCAACAATACCTTGAATGATATAAAACAATTCCGTCAAAAATGGCTAGTTAAAAAGTCGAAATTTGTCTGAAGAAAAAAAAACCCACCCGAGCACAAATATTCCGTTACTTTCGTATCGAAAGTCGGAACAAGAACGGATTTTATGTGTTCAGACAGTTTCAAGCAGTTAGTATTTTAATTGCTTTCGGTTTTTGACTTGGGATATTCTCATGATAGAATAACAAAATGGCGAGATAAGTGCCAAAGTGAACTACCTCCAACGTTGACGGAGTGAACTACGTGAAAATAGCCATGCATGAATTCTGAAAAAATATCTGCATTAAACGAAATTAGCACAGTTTTCTAAATTGGATTTTACTTGTATACTGGAAAAAAGTTGTATACGCAATCAAGTGTTTTTCAAAAACTTTTAGTTGTCTTGCAAGCCTTTCATGTTTTTGAGCTGTATTAAAAAAACATATTTTAACCGTAATCAAAATTGCTTGAACGCCAGAAATTAACAGGAAAATAGCCAAAGAAATAAGCTATCCTGTCATTAATAATGTTGTTTCAGTTGAGTTTTTAAATTGATTTTACCAGTATTATGTAAAAACTGACATCAAAGCTAAGACAATAGCTATCACGTTCGAAGAAATTAAATTTATTAAATTAAATTAATAGGTTTGATATTCAGGCTATTCTGAAAGTTAATTTTGGACAAAATGATATTTTTTCTCCATTAAATCTACCTAATTTTGTCTCCATTTTTTCCATTAACCAGGGGAATTTACTTGTTTGCATGGTCAAAAAAATTGAACTTTTAACACAGGCGAAGTTGCACTTCGCATACACAAGCAAAAATATGACCGATAACGCAACTGGGAAAAACTTAATGCTTAAAACTTTGAGTCTACAAAAAGTTCTGTAAAGACGCACGCCAATTATGAGTCTACATAATTACTAAGTGAAGCAATTCAATTATGACGCATTAGCAGAACGAGCCAATTTCAAAAAAAAATACCAACTAACATGCTCCAATTTATAGAGCGAATGCATTTAATTAGTATACGGAAAAGTTAATTAAAAACACCTGACTTTGCCCAGGTTCGATTTTGTTGCGGGTCTCCTTCCCTACCTCCACGCTACAGATCCATGATACCTTGAAGCTAATATAACTTGTAATATAATAGTCTGTTATTATCCTTAGTATTGCCTGTACTTAATATTTGTTATTGATCAAAAAGAACTCTCAAAATGATCACTAATATTTGCGACTTAGGTTGGAACAAAAAGAGAGATCATACTATCATACAAGTTTTGCTTGTGTAAAAAGCTTTTTAGCTGCTCATAAACCACTTTGGGCTTTTTGTATAAAGTTTAAGATTAAAATTTGGAACTATTGCGGTACCCAATCGCGGTTCTCAAAACTGAATTTATTCAGTAAAATTTATAAATGCTAAGGTGCAGTAACGGTTCAATGATTTTTTCTCACATTTTCACAGATATGAATTCCATTTCCTCATTTGACAAAATATTCAAGCTTTAAATATCAAAAACTCATAGCAATTGTAGGCATGAACAAATTTGTAGTTTTTTCATTAAAAATAGCCCTAAATATTAAGCGTTCATCGCTAAGTTCAATAACACTTGAATATTAGACATTTTTCCTTCAACTTCAAAACAAAGTACCATTGTTCACTAAGACCTCAAAATAGGCAACTGCCGTCAAAAATATGTCGGAATTTACCAGTCGACTTAAGGATTCTTTCCTTTTTTCCTGTCGATTGGACCAGTCACATTAACAGATGTCAAAAGCATACAGCTTCAGAATACCAAATTCACATAATTTATTACCGCGCACTGCACTAAGAATTATGCTATTTCATTTGGCAGTTTTACTTCTACATCAATATGGAGTCGTAAGTCAATTTCAACCTGTTCAGCTTAAATTTTTTATCAGCTTAAAACGAACATTCTACTTGTTAATTCTTACCATCTGTATTTTGAAAACCCGAGGATTCAACCAAAAGTAGATTGACTTGGTAATTTTTGTTCTTAGCTTAGTAACTGTCCTTTCAGACGCAATCAATCGATAGACAACTCAGGAAAACCTGACGAATCGCTGACACCGCCGCCCAACGAAGGGTCCAAACCCCAGTCGACTCTGGCTCCAGCTACACCAAACTCCGCGGCTGCACTTGCCTCGGGAAAGAAGAAGTGGAACAAAGTGAAATTAGGAATCAAGTTCACCGCCAAACTAAAACCAAAAATCGAAAACGAGGCTAAAATTGTTCCAGACATAGAATACTTACTAGTCTCTTTTCTCCCTCACTCGCTTTGCTTCAAGGAAATATTTCAAACTCTCTCTCGCTTCGTCGAAATTGATAAGAACACGACAAGCAGTGACGACAACAATCCTTATAGTATGGTTGAGATCGTTCGGCGACTTCCGAATCTGAAGAACGACAAAACAGCCGAAGGTACAAAATTAGAACGAGGCAGTGTGATAGTCGACCTCAATCGACCGCTGATTGGGGGAAAGAAGCCAGATGTCAATCCGGAAACAGGGGAAAAGGGGGAGGAGGATAAGACTGTTTTGGTGTCTCTGGCCTTCAGCACTGACCCCATGTACTCGCCATTGTGCGAGTCGAAAAAGGAACCAACGAGTTAGTTAACAGTGAATTTACTTCTAACCACCAGGGGAGAATTTATAACCATGAGGATGCTATTTTACGACATCCATGCAATTAAAGTCAGTGTTTGCCATGCCCAGGATTTAGAAAAACTAACTATCAGGAATAATTTTTACGAGCATTTCTCATACTTCGTGTTTTTGTACTTAAAACGAACAAAATAATCATAAGCTCTGATGACTATTAACTGTTCAATGTATGATCGAGGTTTAATTCCTGAGGCCACTTTTGATTATAGTGATTCGTAATTTTAGTATTAAGGAAGAAGAATGATGCCATTTCAAACATTTGCACAATTCACTCAAAATAACCAAAGCATATGAAAGCTGGGCTCACTGGAACTGATCATACAAAACATGTCGTGGGATGAATTAGTCGCAAGTAATCTCGGATTTATTTTAGATTTCAGTGAGGCGGAACTGAATCACTTCGGGACGTTTGATCGCATCTTCTCCTTGAATCCGAAGGTATTAGTCATGCGACAAAGGTGTCTCTCCGACCAACCATTCGAGGTAACCACGTACTTCCCTTTCACTCGTGAGTTTCTATTATAACTATGGGTCTCAAATCATCGCTGATTTTTATGTTGGAGACAATAGCGTTCATTGCATACTACAGAATCTAAATTGAAATAGGACAAACTGTAAAATCAAACTTGTCCTGCTTTGTCTGTGGCAGTTCATCGCCTTGACTTGAGGTCCGATTTTTCAGAAAAATGTCAAATTTGAGATCTCTAAAAATTACAGAAATATGATGGATATTTACTCCAGTTTCTTACAACTTTATTTGCGCTGATGAAAAGAGAGCATCCAATTTCCGACTAGATGACTATCATTTATTAGTACATTTATTTCATTTTTTGTGCATAGATTTTTCACGAGCGCTTTTAGACACCTCAAGGAAAGCATGTATTTTTGAGCACGATCAGCAACCAAATCGGAGACTCCGAAAAAAGTGGCCCCGCAGTAGGACTACCATCAATTAATGTAAGAAACGGAGACAACAAGTTAGCAAGGTCAATTAAATTTTAAGAAAAGTGCACATCATTGACTTTGTGCTAGCAAAAAATCCGATCCGTTCTCTTAGGCGAAAGCGTGGGTGAAAAACTTCAAGTGGGCGTTCCCTCAAAGACCGGAGGACACATTTGTCAAAGTGGACAAGGAGGACATGAGCTACCTGAACAACTTTGTGGCCCAGTGTCTCCACCAGGACATCAAACGAAGAGTGGCCGGACGCAGTCCAGTGGCCGCCAAGGTCATACAGATACAACCTAAGGGCGACTGGCGTCTCGCTCACTTTGACACCATGTAGAATTCCATGAACAGCAAATACAAAGTATTTTCTAAAACCCCAATATATAGTTTATAGAAAAAGTAGTTTATAGTATGAGTCGACTTACCGTGCTTGCGATTTCAGAAATAACTCATGGTTCTGCTCCTCGTATTTTTGAATCAATTTATAAAAAAAATGTTTGATGTCTACCATTCAATTTCAAAGTTCACGAAGCCAATTTTAATTTCCAGATGTATTCATGCATCCCGTTGTGCGGTCTACGTGAAGACAACCTTAAAACCATACCGTTCCAGGAGCTGACAAATTAATCTGATTGGTTGACGCAAGAGATTCAGAGAATTACCACAGCTAAATTCGTGTAGATATCGTGCGCATAGAGTATATGAATTTATTGTTCCGAAATTTTTGTTCCGACTTTCGTAACGAAAGTAACGGAATACTTGTGCTCGGGGTGGGTTTTTTTCTTCAGACAAATTTCGAATTTTTAACTAGCCATTTTTGACGGAATTTTTTTAATATCATTCAAAAAGTACTGTCGTCTTGAGCTTAAATTAGAAAAGATATTTCCTCTGTGATCAATTCTCGTAAAGTTATTTAAAGGGGTTTAAAGATAGCCATTTTGGACAATTTGGGACAATTAACGCGCGATATATGTCGCGCTATTAACGCGTAAGCGGAGATTTAATCCGTCTTGGAAATTGTTCCAAATTGGTTGAAGAAAGCTGATTTGCCGTAATTTATTTGTTACTAGGAGCAAAATCTATCACTTTGTACTTCATATGGCGGGTTGGGGGATGATTTTCACAAAATTTCAAAATAAAAAAATCGTTATATAATCTATAACAATAAAAGTTTTTATGTTGTTACTGCTCCATAGACCTTAAAATGCAGTCGGAACATTCAAGACTTTGCCCTGATACGAGCAGTCTTGTTACTTTTCTTCAGACTTCCATGCATCAGTGGATGTACGAACAAAACTAAATAATTTACAGAATTATAATTAAAGTCAACCCTTTTCAAAGGGGCAATTATTTTTCTTTTCATTACAGATTAGTCAGCAAAAACTTCAAACAAGACTGCTCGTACCAGGGCGAAGCCCTGAATGTTCCAACTGCCTTTTAACGTCTATCGAGCAGTAATAACACGAAAAAATTAAATGTAATAATAAAAAAATGAAATGTTTTATTAAAATTTGAGATATTTTGTGAAAAACATCCCACCACACGCCATATAACGTACAAAGTGATAGATTTCGCTCCTAGTAACAAATAAATTATGGCAAATCAGCTTTCTTCAACCAATTTGGAACAACTTCCAAGACGGACAAACCTCCGCTCACGCGTTAATAGCGCGAAATATATCGAGCGTTAATTGTCCCAAATTGGCCAAAATGGCAATCTTTAAACCCCCATAACTTAACCGAAAAATGATCACAGGTAAAACATCTTTTTCAAATTCACGCTCAAGACAACAATACCTTTTGAATGATATAAAAAAATCCGTCAAAAATGGCTAGTTAAAAAGTCGAAATTTGTCTAAAAAAACACACCCCGAGCACAAATATTTACTTTCGTTACGAAAGTCGGAACAATAATAAAAAAGTATCCTTTTTTTTAGAGTGACGGAAGAGTTTTTGTACTGGGTAATTAAGCTACAGACAAAAGTCGTATTTTTAAGCAACTAATTTTTGAAATATTTTGACACATCGAAATATCGCTAAAATTGAATCTGAATTTTCACACTGAGGCAGAGCATAACATGCCTTACAAAAAGTATTACATTACACGCTAACTAGAGTAGACACAGAATCGGAAAAGGATTTGAACAAAAACAGCGTCTTCGTAAAAACTCATGCGTTTATCTCAAATGATGTAGAACTTGAGGAAAATTGCCCAGGCATACAGTCTCAAGCGTTGAATGAACACTAAGAACCATTTTCCGAGCTGAAACTTAGCCTAAAATACTTGGTTACACACACTTTGAGCCAAAAACAAAATTTCAAGCTATTCAGTTTTGAAACTCGCATAACAAAAGCTCCACCAATCTAAAACACAAAAAAGCATTTAAGAAATCTAATTTGTCGTTCCAGCAACCCAATATAAGGTATAAAATAAGATAAACCACTTAAAAAATGAAAAGTTATCAAAAAATTAGTTGCAAAAATTACAACGACTTTCAATTTTTTCCACAAGCTCTTTCAAATCGTTCTTTAGATAAAGTCTTCGACGCATAAGACTCCGTTTGTTTTGATCTAGCCGATTAGTGGTGATCAAACTTTTAAAAATTTTTTCATCTAATTCTAAATTATGAGAAAAGTATTTCGAATATATAACAAAATAGATATTATAGTGCCCAATTTCTGACATAATTTAGTGCAGTATATGTAATGAGACATAGTCCAGTTACAGCTGATATGGCTATTAGTCTAAATTTCCAGTGACTTTTCCTTTTTTTCATAACTTCAATCACTTTTTCCACTTGAGGTAGAAGATTTTCCATTGGTCCATCATTTAGAATAACATGATCCGCATATGCTCTCTTTTCATCCAATGAGATTTGAGCATTGATTCTATTTTCAACTTCCTCACCTGACCAATCTGCGTTTCGGCCTTTTAACCTTTCGACTTGTTGGTCTCTACGACACCAAACAACAATAGTGCAATTAAGAATACTCAAGATTCGCTTTGTCTCGAATAATAAAGGGACATCCAATACAGCGAACTGTTTCCCTTTCAGAAAACAAACAAAAAGGTCAAAATAAAGGCGACGATAAATGGCTGGGTGCACAATAGCGTTCAAGCTTTTTCGTTTCGATTCATCCGCGAATATAATTTTACCTAATTTTGGTCTGTCTAAATTTCCATCAGGCAAAAGGACGTCTGGACCAAAAAGTTTCGCGATCTGAGTCAAAGCTGGTTCTCCTCTCTGTACCACTAAGCGTGCATATTCGTCTAAATCGAATACCGTGACTGCATGATTACGTAATAGTGACGTAACAGTGCTCTTGCCTGATCCAATGCCACCAGTCAGTCCTACCAAGAACATGAAACGAACCTTAAAATGGTCTCACATCTGAGTTTTAATATGATAGAGCTTTGATATCCAAATGTTTGACACCTGCTAATGCTTCTTCCTGTGTGATTATTTTGAGACATAAAAGAGAGCTTACTTTTACATAGTTAGATTCGGAAATTCATTTAATGAAATTCAGCTTCAGATTCCACAAAGTTCTGTAAAAAATGAAACTTTTTCATCACTTCCTCTTCTAAAATCGCCTAGTTGAGCCTAAAAATATTAATATGAAATGGGATTTTCAAAGTCAGACGGTTTTCCACAGCCAAACAGGATTACCACAGTCAGTATGAATTGTCCCAAAAGACTAGCCGCAAAAAACTGATTTCACTTATGCTACTTCAATTCACTTAACCTTCATCTTCAACTATTGAAAAAAAGGTACGTACATCTATCAATTATCAGAGTTCAAATCTATAAACGCATCAACTTTATGCATCAATACATCTTTCTAATTCATCACAATAATAAATAGCGAATTTGGGGAATAGGAGAAAGAAATCATTAACTAACTATAAGCACTAATTAATGCTAATGCTGGTTTGCAATCAGCAACGAACGGATTGGTTGGAAGAATTGAGTGAAGAGATCCGATTCTTCGAAACGAAAATAAGGTCAGTATATTTGATTCAATCAAACTCAAAGTAAGCAGTGGATAAATTAATGAGAAAACTGAGAAAAGGTTATTAAATTAAAGCTCATTCTCAACCACCACCGAGTTGCAGTACATAGACAGCCAAAATTACAGACAACACATGGTCAGAAATGTGTTGAATATTTCAACGAAAAGCATAAAAACAACGTTCAATCTATTTTATGATTAATCCGTCTGATCAAAAAAATATCAACTAAGAAAATTATTTTAAAGTGATGTGTCCAATCCAGGACCAACTACTTATTAACGATGCATTCAGATATAACATACCTCATAACACAGAAACAGAGAAAAATGTTGAAACAAAAAATGGGTTTTCAAGTGAGTAACCCATACAATAAAAAAATAGTAAAGAGTCTCCAAACGAGATACAAGAACAGTGTACTTGGTGCCTTAATTATTAGTGGAAGCTACTCTTAAGACACTGTTGTTACTTCTTGTCCCGCTACTGGAGTGGATTCACTGGTATCCGAAGACATTAAGAATTCCAGGAGAAAAAAGTTGCCAATATTGCAATCCTTGGATGGACAAATGACAAAAGAGACTACGCAATGGATCGGATGGCAAAGAAGTAGATATTGCGAACAAAATGGAGCAATTAATCACGAAATACCTTGAATGTAGTTTGTATTGACAATTATAATTGAAGAAAAAATAGAAAAATGTGAGGTGCGAGAATAAAGCACTGCAGAATTTCGCAAAAAAGTTGAACATACCTTTTAATAATGAGCTGAAATTGATGTACAGCACTTAATGAGTTGTTTTACAAACTGAGCTATCGAAAATACATGAACTATCAAAGATCTTTGAAGAGCATTGAGGCTTCTGTGCTAATATGTCTGTCGAGGACCGATATGCGCAGATCATAATTGCTCTGTTCTTATTCATTTTATTTGTGATTTAAATCGTTTTTTTTTAACTAACAGAAAAGTCATATACGGAAACACAAACCGATATAATGACTACACCTCTGAACTCATTGGCCCCCAGCCGAGGTGCCTCCATTTACACTAATGCTCAAATGCAGAAATTTTGGAATAAATTTCTGATAATTCAGAAATGAAACGAATATTACAAAAATCATCTAGGTCCTTTCTCAATGCCCAAAAATAATCTTTATCGGACTCATATAGCCCACTCGGCTCTACTCGAAATATATATTAAATCTATCTCATTTTCCCTGATTTTGGGAAACATGAATATATCCGTAAACTCAAATATCAGGTTGTACTGATAAAATTGAACAATTTGAAAATAATTTATACACCGGGCTCAACCTTAGTCTTTGCTGATATCCAAAACTATTAAATTGAGCTTAAAACTATTCCAAATGAAATGAAAGTTATTTTGGACAATGGAGAACAAATTAATTTTTCAGTGCTCCATAGACATGATTAAAAAACATCAAAACAATTGCTATCCGGTCATTGCGGAAAACAGAAAGCGATAAATGAAATGACAAAGGAGAAAGCAGTAATGAAGATGCTCCAGACTATTTTAAAGAGTCCTTAGTTCGATTCAAAACATAACAAATTTTTTCGATTTGGGAAACAAATTAACCAAATCAAACGACATCTTTCCCAGAAACAAATGACCAAAAAACTAATGAGGAAAACCCGGATGAAATAGGTGCACTGGACGATCCCCTAGAAAAATCAGAACCGCTTGGTTTATGCGAGGGCAATGTTGAGAACCTCCTTGAAGATCTGGTTGAAGCTAAAAATGATTTTGAAAATCAAACAACGACTTCAAAAATAGTCGAACACCCCCCTTAATCTCCATTCTGAAAATAATAAAGCAAACTCTCTGGAATTAATAGCTAAACTGAGTGCGTCCGCAAAGGAAGCAACTTAAGACGTTGAAACAATGCAACGATTCCGTAATTGTAGACATCAAGAATTGCCTTCAGCAAAACGAAAAACCCGAGAGGAACAAAAAAATCCTTAGTGAAGAAAAAGGATTAAAAGCTTATATCAAGCATTTTAAATTATTGTTAAGTGAAGATCAAAATGATCTTTTATGCATTAACGAATATAATCCTGACTACACTCACAGTCCAAAAATCAGCTTGTCCATCTCCCTAGTGTTGAATTGCTTTGAATTAGCTGATAAACATCCTCTCAGTTGCCATCACGTGATGCAAAACCTTTGGAAACAAACAAAAGATATTTCTGTCGACCTGGACTCTACGAATGGGTAAACATACTTCTTCATGATTGTCTAGAAGGTCAAAAAACAAACCTTAAGGAAAGGTTTTGTATGAAGCTCCCATACAGCAATGGACAATCCCAATGAAAACAATCCACATCGATCACACAGGTCCACTATGACCATCAAGTCATAGCAAGAGCTTTTGCTTACTTGCATACTCTAGAACCCATGCATACTCTAGAAACCATAAAATTCTTAGAGAAAGAATAACCACATTTAGTATCCCATAACAAATGATTCCTGATAATGGAAGTGCATTCATGAGCAACCACGTTGCTCATTGGTCCTCAGAATTGGGGATGACGCTAAGATCGAGAACTATATATTCGCCTTGTGGAAAGTACTGGGTTAAATGTTTTTTTTGTTACTTCACTTTTCCGTTAGCCCAAGGCGAATATATATATAGAAAGCTCGTTATTAGTCCTCCAACATGCAAAAAAGTAATAATAAGAACATTTAAAATAGTTTTCTGTTACAGGATTCTTGATTAATGTTTCGATAAAAACTCATATTCGTCTCGAAAATTTAGTTTTTATCGCTATCAGAGAGTGAAAAAAATGACCAAAAATGGGTCAATTAAAAAAAAACGAAATTTTTTAATAGTTTCAGTCTTTTTCAGAAAACGAAGTGATATTTCCTAAACGTAACACATCAAGCCCAATTTTTCAAAGAAAAGAATTAAAGAAATTTAGCGAGTAAAAAAAGTTATAAAGGAAAAACTAGTAAAAAACAGCGTTTTTTCAAAAAAGTGCACCTACAGGGAGCCAGATCTCAACAACGCATTTGAAATTTGATCTCATAATGTTTTTAAAAAGTGACTCGCAAGTAGGACAAGAGCTGATTCTTCCATAGAGTTTCGAGAAAAGCTCATTTTCTTACCGAAAAATTAGTTTTCATCGCTATCAGAGGTTGAAAAAAATGACTAAAATGGGTCAATTGTTTTTAAAGTAACAGAAAATTTTTAGATAATTACAGTCGGTTTCAGAAAGTGAGGTGATACTTTCTAAACAAAACACATCAAGCCTAATTTTTTAAAGAAAAAACTAGGGAAATTTAGCGAGTGAAAAAAAATTATAAAGTAAAAACTAGTAAAAAACTGCGTTTTTTCAAAAAGTGCAAATACATTGAGCCAGATATTAAAAACCCAAATGAAATTTGAGAAAATTTTTAATCCATAAGATAGGTGCTATGTAGATTCTTTTTTGATTAAGGTTAAACTTTTCATTAAAAATTCGTCTTCACGTCAAAAATGTATTTTAAACTTTTTCAAATGCTTGTACATTAGCCTCAAAATTGGTCAATTTTTACTCCAATTTTTTTTAAATTTTTTCTTTTCAAACTTTAGACATTTTCAAATTTTTTTTAAATCTGAGTTAACTTAGCTGTGGACTGACTTAAAAAAAACAATTATGAGCCCAATTTCCTCCGCAAAAAAAATGATATCTGCCGATTTATGGTCGAAAATTGCGTTTTTCTGGAAAAATGGAACGTTTCTTCGTGAATAACTCTTTGAAAAAATGTTTCTATCATTTGCCGTTTTTTTGAGAAATCTCATTTTTTGAGATATCCTGAAGATTTTGATGATACCGATTAGTCACATTTTGTTCTCCACTATGACACAGTTTAAAAAATTAATATAAAAAGAGAAAAATGGAACGTTTCTTCGTGAATAACTCTTTGAAAAAATGTTTCTATCATTTGCCGTTTTTTTCATGGTTCGGCGCGTCTAAAGTTCTTTCTACAAAGTATACATCATCTTTGCATCAAAATTTCGTCTTCATGCCGGAAAATTGAAATTAGTGACTCTCTGAAGCTCAAAATGGAACTCAGAGGTGGTTTTTTTTGGTCAAAATTTTTTTCGTTCCGGTCGAGCTTTGTTGGGCAAAACGTTAAGTACGTGTTGAAAAATTGCATTCGTGTCTTATTTCACTCAAAATTCAGTTACTTATCTTGAAAATTCACATTTACAGGCTAGTAAAAATAGGGTTTTTCGCAATTTTTTTTATAAGACTGCGAAAAATTGTTGAAAACTTACAAAAATATGTGGGGTGGTACTCTAGTTGTTGCTCTTTATGATGCAACAAACCGCACTGAGCTATCTAGCGCTGAAAA